TTTGGTGTAGACAACTCGTTTAATTATTTTACACCATTACAAGTTGTTAAATTGAGAGAATAAATTTCTCAACAAATATTTAATACTTAGTTTGGTGTAAACAACTCACGTTTGATTAATTCCCACAATTACAGGCTGTTAAATTAAAAGAATAAATGTGTGGACAAATATTTTAGACTTATTTTGGTGTAGACAGCTCTCGTTTGATTAATTCCCACAATTACAAGTTGTTAAATTGAGAGAATGAATGTGCGGACAAATATTTAATACTTATTTTGGTGTAGACGGCTCTCGTTTAATTATTTTACACCATTACAAGTTGTTAAATTGAGAGAATAAGTGTGCGGACAAATATCTAATACTTATTTTGGTGTAGACAGCTCTTGTTTGATTAATTCCCACAATTACAAGTTGTTAAATTGAGAGAATAAGTGTGCTGACAAATATTTTAGACTTATTTTGGTGTAGACAGCTCTCGTTTAATTATTTTACACCATTACAAGTTGTTAAATTGAGAGAATAAATGTGTGGACAAATATTTGAGTCTTATTTTGATGTAAACAACTCGCGTTTGATTAATTCCCACAAATACAAGTTGTTAAATTGAGAGAATAAGTGTGCGGACAAATATCTAATACTTATTTTGGTGTAGACAGCTCTTGTTTGATTATTTCCCACAATTACAAGTTGTTAAATTGAGAGAATAAGTGTGCTGACAAATATTTTAGACTTATTTTGGTGTAGACAGCTCTCGTTTAATTATTTTACACCATTACAAGTTGTTAAATTGAGAGAATAAATGTGCGGACAAATATTTGAGTCTTATTTTGGTGTAAACAACTCGCGTTTGATTAATTCCCACAAATACAAGTTGTTAAATTGAGAGAATAAATGTGTGGACAAATATTTTAGACTTATTTTGGTGTAGAAAAGTCGCATTTAATTTACTTCCACAAATTACAAATTGTTAAATTGAGAGAATAAATGTGTGGACAAATATTTGAGACTTATTTTGGTGTACACAACTCTCATTTAATAATTTTACACCATTACAAGTTGTTAAATTGATAGAATAAATGTATGGACAAGCATTTGAAACTTATTTTGGTGTAGACAGCTCTCGTTTAATTATTTTACACCATTACAAGTTGTTAAATTGAGAGAATAAATGTGCGGACAAATTTTTTAGACTTATTTTGGTGTAGACAGCTCTCGTTTAATTATTTTACACCATTACAAGTTGTTAAATTGAGAGAATAAATGTATGGACTAATATTTGAGTCTTATTTTGATGTAAACAACTCGCGTTTGGTTAATTCCCACAAATACAAGTTGTTAAATTGA